CAGTGAGCTTTAGGGACAAGGACTGTCCCTCTGCGGCTATGTGAAGTCCCAGAGAACAAGGACTGTTCAGGGCCCTTCTCCCATAGAAGGGAGCAGCCTGGGACAATCCAGAAAGTAGGACAGGAGCTGTGCTCCAGAAAGGGATGAAAACAAGGCAGTGCACTGGTCACAGGAGTCAAAGCATAGCTGCTGTGAGATGGTTCACACAGGAGCCTGCAGCCACAGTGTGATGACCCCCAAGAAGGTGAATGCAGGGCAGCCACCTAGACAGCTGAGGAAGAGCAGCTATGCTCAGGCACCTCAGCAAAGCTTTGGCCAGCAGGGACAAGAAGAGGCAGGACCTGGAGAAGAGTGGGTGCTCGTGGCCCTCCACCCCCAGCCCAGAACCAGCCCCTCTGTGGATGGCAGGGTCTCCACATACCTGACAGTGATCTCACGCTGGGTGGTGGAGCAGAGTCATCCAGTGTGGCAAGAACGGAAGGAAAGGAAACACAGTCACTGCACCAGGCACAATCACCCACAGCAGCCCTGGCCCAGCTCCCACTGCTTCTCCTGGGGTTAAACCCAGAGAAGGAACACCAGAGCCGGAAGGCAAGGGCAGACTGATGTGGCACAGCCAGGATGAGCAGAGCGGGGAGAGCCGAGATCAGAAGAGCTCTCCAGGACGACAGCATGTGAACAAGGCCAGGCCAGACTGCAAGTGCCAGGCGTCACTGTACCCAGACCTGTCCCAGTTTCCCCAGCCCCTGTGTCACAGCTCTGTCTGCCCCAAAACCTTTTGTAGAGAGGTGACACCTAGACCCTCTCCGTGCTCCAGAAGCACAGGGCTACTGAGCACCCACATCCTCCCCTCTGTGCAGAATCCTCCTCCTCACCTGCACTAGCAGTAATCAAAGAGCCCAGAGCTCACCTTCTCCAGCTGGCTGTGCACATGCTGCACAATGAGGTCTAGGGCCACAAAGTTTTCCCCACCTGACAGCAGAGCAGAGAAGCTGAGTCAGAGGCACACTGACCCAACCCCATCCTAGGACACCTGCTGCCAGAGCTGGGGTCAGGTCTGGCAAATGCAGCAGTCTCACCCCTGGGCACCACGATATCGGCAACCTGCACAGTGGGCTCGATGTACTGCTCAAAGGATGGCTTCACAAACTTGTTGTATTGCTTGATGACACCCGCGACATCGCGACCACGTTCCATGATGTCGCGTTGCAGCCGTCGCACCAGCCGGATGTCGGAATCCGTGTCCACAAACACTTTCATGTCCAGGAGCTGGAAAACTGGGAAGAGTGAGCACCCCCTATGCATCCCCCCACCAGACCTGCTGCATTCCTCTCATCCACAGCTCAGCCAGGTCTGACCCCCACGGCGAGGGCACCCAGCGTTGCCTCTCCTGAAGCCTCAGATGTGGAGGGGCTCTACCAGCAGGCAGGAGGGTGACCTCCCCCTCGGCAGCCCCCACCCATCACCCTGCCCCAGCAGCATCAAGGGCCAGGCCAGGCCAGCACCCATCCCACTGCAGCACACCACTGCACATCCCCTGCCACACCACACGCTAAGATGGGCCACCAGTCGCACCAGGCAGCGAGCGATACCTTCAGCAACTCCTTGTTCGCAAAAGCCAGAATCCCTTCAAAGACGATGACGTTGGCCCCGTACACTGTTTTCTGTGGGCAGATAAGAGCTGTGCTCGTCCTGCCCACCTCACACCCACTGCGGCAAGGCCAGCACTCGGCACAGATGGCACAGTCACAGAATGGGTTGGGTGTGAAGGAACCTTGAAGCTCATCCAGTTCCAACCCCTCTACCATGGGCAGGGACACCTTCCACTAGACCAGGTTGCTCCAAGCCCTGTCCAACCTGGCTTTGAACACTGCCAGGGATGGGGCAGCCACAGCTTCTCTGGGCACCCTGGACCAATACCTCACCACCCTCAGAGGGAAGAATTTCTTTTCTTCTTCATATCTCATCTAAGTCTAACCTCTGTCAGTTTTAAGCCCTCAGCCCCTGACCCATCCCAGGCTCTTACCACCCATGTGCAGCACTCCCTACAACTGTTCTGTATCACCCAACATTTAAGGGCCCTTATTCTGATCCCTACACTTGATATTCCAGCCCTGTACTGACAAAGAGCCTTGTTCCAGAGCCCCCAAACCGCTGCATCCCAGCTCCTTCCCTCTCTGCACTCCATGCTCCCCACTGCAGCCTCTCCCTGCACTCTGCGTTGGCCCTCATTTCAATCTCCATCTTCATGTCTCCCTGCCCCCTCCCTGCCTCCACACCTCAACCCCCCCCCCCCCCCAAGAAACACCCCTGATGGCTGGAGCCCCTCCCTCCCTGTGCCCTCCCAGGTCCCACAGCCCCCACACTCCCTATCCCTGCCGACAGACATCCCTGCTCCCCAGGGCTCACCCAGTCTGCCCTCCCCAGTGCCCATCCCAGCTCCCCCAGGGCGCCCACCCCAGCTCCCCCATGACACCCACCCACTCCCGGCGGCGGCTGTGCGTGGTGAAGTCGTACACCGGCACCTTCACGCTCTTGCCCTTCTTGAGCTTGCGGAGGACACTGACGAGCAGCTCAAAGTCGAAGGCATCAGGGTGGTCAAAATTGTAGTCGCTGCGGGCTGCCAGAGCCTGCTGCCCCTCGTCCAGCACCTGCAGGCACCATCACCACTCAGTGCCATGCCAGAGCCCCCAGACCCCATCACTGCCACGCCAGACCCATGGATGCACTAGCACCGCCACTGCTCTGTGCTGCCCTCGTGGCAGCCCTCACCTTGTAGAAGGAGTCCATGGAGAGCAACACGACCCAGGGCACGTCCAGCGCCTCGATGATCCGCGTTGCCACTGTTGTCTTGCCCGAGGCACTGCCACGCACAAGCCTGGGGGTGAGAACGGGATCACCGCGAAGGCCCCGGCTCCCTCAGTGCCCGGCTTCAGCTCCAGCCCGGCCCCATCACTCCCTCAGCCGTGGCTCAGGGCCTGGCTCCATCATCTACCTCGTCCCAGCACCGGCTCCAGACCCATCCTTGGCTCCATCACTTCCCCAGCCCTGGCTCCATCCCTGCCCCAGCCCGGCTCCGGGCCGCAAGCTCCATCCCAGCCCCATCCCGCCGCTGACCGATGACGAAGGCCTCGTCCACGGGCGCGCCGGTCTCGCTGTACCAGGGCGGCCGCCCGGCCGTGTAGATGGTCCGCTTGCTGGTGCGCAGCAGCGGCGGCTCCGGCTGGCACTGGCTGGCGGTTCTGCGCCGCGGGGAGGGCGCCAGCGGCAGCCGGCTCAGCAGCGAGCCCCAGCGGGCCCGGGCCGCGCTCGGGACCCGCCGCGCCCCACGCGCTACCCCGCCGCTCCTCCGCGCCCGCCGCCGCCATCTCCGCGCGCCGCCGCGGGCCGCTCGGTTCGGGATGGGCCGCGGGGGCTGCCGGGACGGGCCGCGGCCGCACGCGGCTCCCGGCGGCCCCCGCGGCCCCGCCACGCCCCCGCCACACGTGGGCACCCGCGGGAACCGGGACGGCGGGTACCGGCGGTAGCGGGGTCTGGCCCGGACGCACGGCCAGAGCCTCCAGGGACCGAGAACCCTCCGGACACCGTGGGCAGCCCGTGCCCGTGTCACTCGCGCACGGGGGAGCATGTCCAGGGTCCCCGTCCCTGTGCCCATTGTATGCCCATGGCCTCCGGTCCTGGGACTGAGCACCGCTGGAAGAGCCTGGCTCCCTCCTCCTTATCCCGTCCCTGCAGGGGTTTACAGACATGGCTTCCATCACCCGGAGCTTGCCCTGCTCCAGGCTGAGCCGTCCCAGCTCCCTCAGTCTTCTCCCACAGCAGAAATGCTCCAGTCCATCCAGCAACGTGGTGGCCTCTCATAGACTCGAGATCTCCAGTCTGCCCGTGTCCCTCTTGCACTTGGAGCCCAGCACTGGGCCAGGGTGACCAGTGCTGTCCTGGGAAGCATCATCACTCCCCTCAACTGGCAGTGCTTTTTCTAATGTAGCCCAGGACACCATTCACCACCGTTGCAGCAAAGGCACGTGGCTGGTTCACGGTCAACTCTGTGTCCATCAGGACCCCATGGCCTTTGCTGAGCTTCTTTCCCACTGGGCAGCCCCCAGCATGTGCTGCAGTGGTGGGTTTGTTCATACCCAGGAGCAGGACTTTGCACTTCCCCTTGCTGAACTTCCTGAGGTTCAGCCCATTTCTCTGCCTGTCTGGGTCCCTCTGCATGACAGATCTGCACAACCCTTGTGTACAGCTGCTCCGTCCAGCTCGGGGTCACCTGCAAACCCAGCATCCAGATTATTCACAAAGATGTTAGATCAGACTGGACCCAGCACTGACCCTGGTGGTACAGTGGTCATTACTGGTCTCCTACTAGACTTTGTCACAGATCACCCCCTGGACCTGGCCATGCAGACAGTATTCAATGCACTTTCCTGCCTGCTCATCCAGCTTACACTGCAACAGCTTCTCCTGGAGGATCTTAGACGACATGATGCCCAAACCCCCCAGGGTCCAGGCAGATGATATCTACACACTCCCCCCATCACCAGGTCCTCCATGTCATTTTGTAAGACGTGATTATCCCTTGGGGAAGCCATGCTGGCTTCTCCAGATTCCGGTGGGTTTCTTGTCCATGCTCACACTCTCAGAAGTGGTTCCCAGAATGTGTTCTCCCATCAACCTGCAGGACATCCCCGCGGTGTGAAAGCGGCCCCCCGCGCTTCAGCGGCGCCCCCGTAGCCCAGCAGCCTCCCACAGACTACCAGCCGCCTGCACAAGCTAACCAGAGCACCAGGTTAAGCCCCACCAGGTGCCTTCCCTGGGGCCGAGCAGCTCCGGTGCTGCGTCAGCCCCGTGCCTCTGACCGGTGTCTCAGCGGGGCCGCAACCGTAACCCTGCCCTCCCACCGCCGAGTGCCACCGGTGGCACCCCCGGCAGATGGGCGCCTGGGGGCACCCGGCCCCTCCCGCCCCGCCCCGGGAGAGAGGCGGGGCCCTGGCGGGGGGCGGGGCTTCGACAGGGAGGCGGGGCCGCGGCAGTCTTGGCGGCGGGTGCCCGCGGTGCTGCTCGCCCGCAGCATGGAGCCCCCGACCCGCACCGAGAGCTCCCGCCTGGTCAACCCACGGGGCGGTCGCGCCGAAGGCAGCCTGCGCCTCAAGAGGTACCGCCAGCACCGGCACCCCATCGCCCGGCACCTCCATCACCATTTACCATCGGCACCCTCAGCACCTCCATCACCGGCACCCCATCATCCCGGCACCCTCAGCACCTCCATCACCGGCACCTCTTGGCACCGCCATCGCCGGCACCCCATCACCCCGGCACTGGTAGCGCCACCTCCCAGTGCCCCCAGCAACCCTGACACCACCACCCCCCTTCATCATCCCCTGCGCCTGCAACCCTCGATCCCACGCACCCGCACAGCCCGTACTGGCTCCCTCATCACTCCCGGCATCTCCATCACTCCCCATAGCTCCGCATGCCCGCACCCCTGTCTCTATCCCACCCGGAAGTGTCAGGTCCCATCCCCCGGGACCCGCAAGCCCCCGTCACGTCCAGCAGTGCCCAGCTCCCCCGGTCCCCGGCACCCCCCGGCACCGGTACCCACCAGCACGTCCGTACCCTCCACCCCCGCGCCTTCAGCCTACATGGACACCAGCACCTTTGCAGACCCCAAGGCAGCCCCGACCGTCCGTGTACCGGCACCCTCATCCCCGACACCGGCACCTCCGTTCAAGCGGAACCAGTGCGCCAGCCCAGCTCCCCCCTCGGGCGTCCGTCTGTCTAAGTACTGGCGCCCAAGCGTCACCCACCCGCACCGGTACCGTCCATCCCCCCTCCCGCGCTGTTGCCCCATGCATCAGCGCCCCCGCCCGCCCCCGTCACCCACCGGCCCCCGCCTTAGCCGCCTGCTTCCTACGCCTCACGTCCCGCGATAGTGCCCCGTCCAGCAGCCCGGCCCCAAACGCAACACTTCGATCCCACCGCTACCTCCTCCGCGGGCACCCGCTCCCACACCGCACTGACCACGCCACCCTCCACGCCTGACTGGGCTCCCCGCTGCTCCGCCGTGCAGGTGGTGCGATGGGGACCGCGCCGGCTCCACCGAGAGCTCCGTGGCTGCGCATCCCGATGGGGGCGCCCGGCTTTTCCGTACACTGCCGGTTCCCCGGCTGCGGACCCCGGTGCGGCAACGGGACACGCCGGTGGCGGGTCTCGGGCGGGCACAGAGCGGGTCCACTCCGGGGTTACGCCGGCATCGCACAGGCCAGACTGGGGCTTTGAGGGACGATGGCGCTCGGTCACCGGGAGCCTCAGGCAGCTCCTGGGGGTGCCGGACAGGGTTTCCGGTAGCCGGTGCGGCCGACAGTGACCCCTGCCCCCAGTCTGTTTGCAGGCTCCCAGGAAGCCCTGGCTCAGCCGGACCCCCCAGCTCTGGCTCCCCACTGCCGCTGCAGCCCCCGTGCCCCCAGCCCGGGTCGGGGCAGGCTCCAGGCCCGCCGGCAGCTGAGCGTCGCCTGCACCGTCTGCTGCATCTTCATGATCGGGGAGGTGATAGGTAACAGCAGGACAGGGATGGGAACAAGGGGCTGCCCCAGCGCCGGGTGCCAGCTGCCCTGTGCCTGCAGGCGGGTACCTGGCACACAGCCTGGCCATCATGACGGATGCAGCCCACCTGCTGACAGACATAGGCAGCATGTCCGTCAGCCTCTTCTCCCTCTGGGTCTCTACTCGCCCACCCACCAAGACCATGAGCTTTGGCTGGCACCGCTCTGGTGAGCTGGGGGGACACAAGGCTCCACAGGAGCACCACAGCCGGGATGGGTGCTGACAGCTCCTGTCCTGCAGAGACACTGGGTGCGCTGGCCTCTGTCCTCTCCATATGGGTCGTGACCGGGGCCCTTGTCTACCTGGCAGCTGCCCGCATCATCAGCAATGACTATGAGATTGAGGCACGAGCCATGCTGGCTACATCTGCCAGTGCCGTCGGCGTCAACTTGGTGTATGTCCCACATGGGGCTGTGCATACCCACATCATCCCCCTGCATACCCCCACCCTGGGCTCTGGCCTCCCCTCCCACCCCCCTGCTCCATGGCTGCTCCTGGTACCTCAAGACCCCCAGACCTGACCCACAGGTCACCTTTTATCTTTGTGCACCAGCCTCATGTCCCCAAGCTCTGCCTCCCCCTATTCCCTGTTCCCCATGCACTCCCAGCTTCCAGCCCACATCCTCTAGCCCCACAATCCCTGCCCCCATGCCCAATCTGAGCCCTGGCCCCACACACCTTGCTGAATGGTGTGACTGCCCTGTTCCTGCTGCACCTCCAGCCCTGCCTCTCCTCCTTCCTGGGGCACAGGTGTGCCTTCCTGTGCCCCCTTTGCCTGTGATGCCCAGCCACCGTTGTCTGTGTGAGGGTCCAGGCAGGGCCAGCGGGGCCACTGCATCTTGCCCAGCACAGCACTGAGCATACCCTACTCTCCCCAGCATGGCCTATATCCTGCACCAGTCTCCTGTCAGCCATGGCCACAGCCATGGCACAGGAGGCTATGAGCAGCTGGAGAGCACTGGGGGCTGCCTGCCCAGCCATGCCCCCCTGCCTGGAAGCACCAGTATCCGTGCAGCCTTCGTTCACGTGGTGGGTGACCTGCTGCAGAGCATCAGCGTCCTTGTGGCTGCCACCATCATCTATTTCAAGGTGCCCAGGCTGGACTTGCCTCCACTGACTGTGGGAACAGCTCCCTCAGCCCCACACCTGGGTGCCCAGCTCTGCTCTGGCCCAGAGCCTCACCCAGACCCTGCTCCCTGCAGCCCCAGTGCAAGATTGCAGACCCCATCAGCACTCTCTTCTTCTCAGTCTTTGTCCTTGGCTCCACCTTCACCATCCTCAGGGATGTCTTTAGAGTCCTCATGGAAGGTAAGCAGTGGGTGAGGAGGGTGCAGGAGCTCATTGGGGCTGCAGCTGCCACAGCTCCTTCCCCACACGGGAGCTCACCCCTCACCCAGTCACAACCCAGCCCACCCTCCCATCCTTCCCTCACACCCCTGAACATCCCCCACCAGGCAAATAAGCCCATGGTGTGAGATTACCTCACCCTGGAGCCACCATCCACAGCCTGGTCACAGCCTGCTGGAGCCCCCAACCCATCCCTGGCTGCTCCTACCACAAGCTCTTACCCCAGCATGGGGCTGGGGGCCAGGACTGCCCCCTCTGACCAGGTGCTGTTGGCAGGGACACCACGGGACCTCGAGTTTGATGCAGTGAAGGAGATGCTGCTGGCGGTCAATGGGGTCAAGGGTGTCCATGACCTGCATCTCTGGGCCCTGACGCTGAGCCACCATGCCATGTCAGTGCATATGGCTGTCGGTGAGTGCCCCATGAACAGCTCCTATGGACCCCAGGGCACAGCTGAGGCACCCACCAGCTGCGCCCATGCCAGGGCTGAGGCCCACTGTGCTGCCATCGCCAGACACCAGTGCTGACCCCGAGATGGTGCTGCACGAAGCCACGACCCAGCTGCAGAGCAGGTTTGGCTTTGCATCATGCACGGTGCAAGTGGAGCGGTACCAGGAGGAGATGGGGGGCTGCCAGCACTGCCAAGACCCCTGCGCCTGACGCCTTTGTGCCCGAGACCCCCGCCTGCTGCAGAGCTGGGTCAGGCCTAGCCCCAGCCCCACACCCCAGGAGCTGCCCCTGGAGCAGGGGGTGCAGCACTTGGGCTCCTGTCCCAGTGTTGCACCCACAGAGCCCTGGGGTTGGACAGCGCCCCTGTGTGCAGGGTCCCAGGGGAGACACACGGCCTGCCCACACACCCTCCCCCCCCCCAGCACGGGGGCTTCCCCAGGATCCTCCAGCCCCAGCTGTGCTGGCAGCAGCTCCAAAGGAAGAGGAGGATCCTGCTCCATCACATCCCCCTGGAGCCCTGTTTTACCCAGCGGGAGCAAGGACAGGCAGGGACAGCCCCTGGCGGAGCAGCGGAAGCAGCCATACCTGGCTCTCGCTCCAGCTGCTCCTGTGCCCTCAGGGCCACAGGGGCTGCCCCACTGCCCCCAGGTTTGCAGGTACTGGGGCTGCAGGGTGGCCAAGGAAGCTGCTGCTGGGGTGCAGGGTAAAGGAAGCCCTGGACTTGCTTCCCTGCCTCCCACCCAAGGCTGGGCCAGACGCTGCCATGCCTTGGCCTGATCCTTCCCCACCGTTGTGATTCTGTGTCTGTCGCACCTGTGGTGTATGCGTGTGTGTGTCTGTCCGTTTGTCCATCTCTTTGTGCAGAGCCCAGCGGGCGGTGGCAGAGTCTGCAGCCACCAATAAACTTGTTGGAGCAGCAGCAGCGGCCAAAGCAGCCAGGAGGGGACTGGGAGGGGGGACAGCCCCGGCTCTCACAAGAGCAGAGGGGGGGACACGGCCACTCCAGGTACCAGCGCCCACCCCACAGCCCTGTGCCAGTACCACAACCAACCTTTACAAAACAAACCATGTTTACTGCACAGCTGAACACACAGGCTCAATGTGAGCAACTTCAGAGCTGCCGGCCCCCTTTGCCGGCCCCATCAGCCCTGCCCAGGACAAGGCTGGGCTCCCCCAGCCCCCTGCATGGGGGTGGTCAGCACAAGCACAGCCCCACAGAGGAGGGGGTCTAGGGGTACTTCCCTGGCATCAGGCCCCAAGAACCACAGCTCAAGCTAGGGACATGCACCAGTCCCAACCCCCCCGCTCCCGCACCAAACAGCGCAAAAGGATCCTCCTGGGCCCAGAGCACGAGGACGAGTGTCCTGAGCATCCCCGGTGACAGCCAGGAGCAGCCGTCCCTCCCCTGAGGTGGGGCCCAGAGGGTGAGAAGCACCGAGAGGGGGTACACAGCCCCCCCGGAGAGCACAGCCTGTCCCAGCCCCAGCTCCTGCCTGGGGTGAGAACACATGGCAGCAGCATAAGGGACCCACCATGCTACTCTGCTGGTGGCAGTGGGGAGCACTCAGTGGGGCTGGGGCTGGGGCTGCCAGGCTCATCCCCATAGAGGGAGCTGAAGCGGGCACGACACTGCGGCAGGAGCTGGCGGCTCACAGCGGAGGCCAGCCCCACCAGGCAGTGTGCCCGCACGATGCCCGCCTGCCCCCCTGACACCAGCCACCCGTGCGAGTCCAGGTTGGGGCTGAAGCGCACCTGCAGGAGGAAAAGGGGGTCAGGAGGGAGGGAGCCCCAGGATCCCAGCACGCACCAGGGGTAGCGGGGCAGAGGCAGACCCTGCCTGCAGCAGCCGCAGCCTCCTGAGGCTCTCTCACCTTGTGCACAGACTCCAGCTGCAGGCGGTCGAGGCTCAGCTCCGCCTTCATCTCCTGCGTGTGCATCCTGCGCATGGGCTCCCGGCTGGAGAAGTTCTTGAAGCTGCGCTGTGAAGGGGTGGCAGGGCAATGGGCTGCAGGCCTGGGCTAGGAGCGCTGTGTGCACAGTCCCGGCAGCACCAGGATTGCCGCAGTGTCAGGGGCTGCTCAGGGGACAAGGGGCGTCCTCAGGGTCACCCATCAAACAGCCACAGCCCAGGGTACAAAGACTCAGAGCCCAGGGAGGGCCAGGGCAAGGGGGGCTGGAGCATGGCAGACCCTACTGCATGCCCCCGTACTTCTACAGCAGCTCTGAGCCCCTCTGTCTAGAGGGCCCTTGAGCACAGCCCGGCCCTGGTGGCTCAAGCTGATATCCCAAACACAGCTTGGAACACTGGGGAGTGGGGTGCAGGCAGGCTGTGAGCCCCCAGTCTCCTTCCCAGGGCTGGGCACTCCAGGCTGTTGCCAAGAGTGCAGCTCTGCCCGGGACTGATGCCCACAGCCATGCCCCCCATTGCCCTGTGACCAGGCAGGAGGGCAGCCCATCCCCATGCTCTCAGGGCAGCCAGGAGGGGCTCCACCAGAGGTGAGGGGCTGCAACAACACCTGTGCAGCATCTCCTCACCCTGCTGCTCCAACTGCCCAGCCCCAGCCTCACAAGCACCATCCCCACTCCCACAGGTCCCACTCATGGTCAGCACCACCCATCCCCGAGCCTGCCCCCCCTACCAGGTCCGTGTCCCGGAATAGGATGTAGCTCTTGGTCACCATCTCGCTGTAGCGCCTGGTCAGTGGCAGCACCAGCTCACTGCCCTCTGACCCATCAGGGCTGCAGGGCAGCAGGTCAGCTTTGTAGACGGGCTGTGGGCAAGACAGGGCTCAGGGCAGGGGGTCCATGTGCTCCTCCGCAGAGAGGGACCACCAGGGACTGAGCAGGGCTGGGAGCCCCACAAGCCCTTCCCCAGGATCCCCAACATCAAGGCTGCTACCACTGCTGTTCTCCACCACACAGCCCCTACCTGGGCATGAAGGGCATGACATGCATCCATGACATGCTCACACGTGTGGGGCAGCAGAGGCCCTGAGGCTGGCTCAGGATACTCTTCCCATGACCCAGGAATAGAACTCCTATCCTGCCCAGTCCCACAGGTGTCAGGAACAGGCCCTGCTGACTATCACGGTCACTTACAAATCTACGGTCTGAAGAGCGCTTGACGTTGAGGGGGTTGATGGCCAGGTCGGGCAGCACCGCAGCCACCAGCTCACCGGTCATGTCTCCTGCAGCCACGGTGTTCAGCCAGTCTGAGCCAGATATGCTCTGCAGGAACAGATGTCTCTAAAGCACAGGGTCCCAGCGGGCTCCCCACCACCCCCAGCCAGGCTGCAGCAGCACCACCACCACCACCTTCCACCTGCCGGGGAGGGATGGGCTCAGAAGTGCAGCCAGCTTGGACACAGGCAGGGACAGCACCTCACACAGTGGTCATGGTCCCTTACCCAAGGAGCAGAGGGTGACCCAGGAGCCAGGGCCTCACATGGCCGGACCCTGTCACCCCTGCCCGTGAGCTGCAGGACCCAGCTGGCACTGGGTTTGGGGCAGGTACCCACCCCTCTGACATGGACCCAGGGCACAACTGCCCTGCACCAGCCTCTTACCCACACAGTCCCCTTGCGAGGTGCCACAAAATAAGCCTTGAAGCCCAAGTACCCTGCATCGATGTAGTGGATCCCACAGAGACCATAACTGCAACAGAAAGGGAACAGATGAGGACCCCAAAAACAGATGCTACCCCAAAACTGCGTGAGCCAGGCTCAGCTCCCCAGAGACTCCAGGGAGCTAGGCAGATGAAGGGGGGTTGTCCTCGCTCTAGCAGCATGTCACAGCATCATGAGTTTCCCCAGGCTGGTTCCCAGGGGCATGAGAAGACACCAAAACTCTTCTGCCAACTTGTATCAACCTGGGGCCACACAGGAGGCCCAATGCCCATCCGATTCAGGGGCCTCATCCTTCCCCTCGCACACCTCGCTTGTGCCCCAGGACGTGATGTGACCCAGCACAAGCAGAGCCTGCCCTCGCCACAGCACAGCTGGACAGTCCCAAGGGAGGGAGAGACCAGAGAGGCCCCTTGTGAGTTAGACCAGACCCGAGCCCAGATGGCCCCCAGGCACTGACATAAACCCGACACTCACGAGGCATAGCAGTTGTCCTGGGCCACAGTGACTCCATTGTAGGGCAGCAGCCAAGCCACCTCTGTGCTGAGGAACCGCTTGATGCTGTTGATGGGCTCATAGAGCCGCCGCAGGTCCCAGAACTTTATCTTACGGTCGCTCCCTGCCGTGACCAGGAAGTTGCTGAGAACCAAGAGAAAGGCAGCACTGAGACCACAGTGCAGAGCTGTGCCCAGTCCCTGCTGCAGGCATGGGTGGCCCTGGTCCTGCAGAACAATGCTGCTCCCCCAGGCAGTGGCTCAGCCCCAGAAAGCCCAACCCAACCTCTTCAGCGCTTCAGAGGGCCAAGTGCCATCAACACCAAGTTCTCTCAAGCCCATCTTGGCAAAGGACCCTCATCTACAGGAGCGAGCCAGCTCTCCCAGGCAGTGCCCACACCATCACCAGCTCTCCTGCCCTCACCTGTCAGCCTTGCACCACTCGATGCTCCGGACTGCATGGTCATGGGCTAGAAAGCACTGGAAAGGATACAGCTTGAGGGAGCCATCAGGCTGGTGCACACACTGCAGCAGGGACTTGGTGAGCAGGTTCCAGACAGCCACAGTGCCTGTGGGATGAGACCTGTGCCTGTGAGGAACTGCCCCATGACTGCACCAGCACTGCAGCTGGGAGCGTGGGGGAACGGAGGGGACAGGCAGCAGCACAGGCAGGGACTGCAGGAGCTGAGAGGCCCAGCAGCTGAGCCGGAGCTGGAGCTCAGAGCACAAAAGGATGGCTCAGGTGCAGCAGGTCCTGGCAGCGCAGCAGAGTGCTGTGGATTGCCTGAAGCCAGGCACAAAACTGCATCCGGGCAAGTCAGACACATGTGGATTAAGCCATGTCCTGGCTTAATCTGGAAGGTATGTGAAGGAGCCTGTGGCCAGCCAACAATAAGCTCTTCCCTGTCCTAGGGATGGGCAGAGGCTCCTGCACAGTACCCACCACTTGCTGCTCCTCATCCTGACGCTGCCCCCATACTCATCCTCAGGTTCCCCCATTCCCTGCCTGAGGCTGAAGGAGCACAAAGCTTCATGTGTGTCTCTGCCTGCTGCAGGGCGAAGCCTGCTCCTCAAAGGCTCTGATGCAGGATGCAGGCCCTTCTTGTGCAGGGTGGGGTACTCACCGTCATAAAAACCAGCTGCAAGGTAATGATGGGGCTTGGATGGCATCCATGAGAGGCTGAAGCACTGGCCACACTCAGACGCATTCCCTGCCTGGACAGAGCCCACCTGGAGCGTGGCAATACCCTGCACCTGGAGGCCAAAGGACAATCATCAATCACAGTCCTGTGCCAGCACCATTGATGTCCCAAGAGCTGGGGACACCCAGGCTTGGGAGCATGGCTCTCCTCTGCCACCCCAAAGCTGGGGCTGGAGAGCTCCACAGGGGTCCCGATGCCCTTCCCAGCTCTCCCACCTGCCCCAGTCAGGAGGCTCGCTGGTGCC